AAAATTCTCATCAGATAATGGTCTAATATGCAAAATATAACTATTGAACATAATTAGATAAATAAAAAAATATTCTTAGCTGATGAAGTTCTAATATCAATATCAGCAGTCTAGTCTCCTTTGTTTTACATCTAGTATCCTCCTATGAGTGAGTATATATCATGTTTGTCTTTCTGAGTCTGGGTTACATTACGCAGGATGATTTGTTTCTAGATCCATCCATTTGCCTGCAAACCTCATGATTGTTTTTCTCTGCTGAGTAGTATTCCATTGTGTATATGTACCACATTTTATTTATCCATTCTCAAGTTGAACAGCGTCTAGGTTGTTTCCAGGTTCTGGCTATTACAAACAATGCTGATATGAATGTAGCAGAGCATGTGCCCTTGTGGTATGATTGAGCATTCTTTGAGTATATGCCCAAGAGTGGTATAGCTGGGTCTTGGGGGAAATTAATTTCCAATTTTCTGAGAAAGCACCATATTGATTTCCAAAGTTGTTGTACAATCTTGCATTCCCACCAACAGTGGAAGAAAGTTCCCCTTGCTCCACATGCTCTCCACCATAAGCTGTCTTCAATGTTTTTGATCTCAGCCATTCTGACTGGTGTATAGTGGTATGTCAGAGTCGTTTTGATTTGCATTTCCCTGATGATTAGAGATGTTGAGAACAACTCCAGGGAGGCTACCTAGAAAACAGAACACTAAGAAAGACTCAGGGATTCACACAATGACAGAGAAATAGACGAGATCTACATAAGCAAACTGGACATGAGGGGAGTTAATGAAGGGCAAGTGTCAGGGAAAAAGAGCTTAGGGGAGCAGGAGATCCCAGCTGGATCAAGAACAGAGAGGGAGAGCAAGAAAAGAGAGACCATTATAAGTGAAGTCCCCATGGGAATAGGAAGAAGTAAAGTGCTAGAGATGTACCCAGACATCCAATATAGACTAATGGCAATTGTCGAGAGAAAGCCCAAACTGATCTACTCTGGTGATTGGATGGCTGAACTCCCTAAATGTCATGATAGAACTCACATCCAATGACTGATGGAAGTGGATGCAGACATTCACAGCCAAGCCCCTGGTGGAGCTCCATGAGTCATATTGGTGAGAGAGAGAAGGGATTCTATGAGCAAGAGACATTTAGACCATGATTGGAAAAAGCACAGGGACAAATAGCCAAACTAGTGGAAACACATGAACCATGAACCCGCATGGAATTGGACCAGACCCTAAGGGAGACAATTACCTTGAACTGTTTGGGAGGACCCCAGGCAATGGGACCAGCACCTGTCCTTAGTGCATGAGCTGGCTTTTTGAAGCCTGGGGCCCATGCTGGGACACTTTGCTTTGTCTGGGTAAAGGGAGGAGGGGACTGGACCTACCTTGACTGAATCTGCCAGGTTGAGCTGAATCCCCAGGGTAGTCCTTGCCCTGGAAGAGATGGGAATGATGGGGGGTTGGGGGGAAAGTTAGGGGGGCAGAGGAGGGAGGACAGGGGAATACATGGTTGATACGTAAAATTAAGTTAATTATAAAATTAAAAAATAAACAAAAAATAAAGTGCTTCTCTCACTAAAGTGCTAAAAAAAATCTGTTTTTTCAAACTTTGCTGACTCTGATTTCTGAACCCAGCATGTAACAGGATCCTCTTAAATTCTGACTTTTTCGGTGGAAAAACTTTTACAACTCCCAAACATAATCTGTTACAGTAGTTTATTTAAGAAAATTTCCCCCCATTTAAATTGGGGCAGTTCACTTACACTCAAGCAAACAAACCTTCAAATAAGAATAGCAACAGAGAAGAAAATATTAATAGATGGACTCAATATACACTACATGAGTTCTATCTAGTAAGTAATCCAAAATCATTTATGTACTTCTATTACAATACACCAGTGGGCACAGGTGGATTTATTTGTTGTTAGATTAGCCCCGAAAGTATCATAATTCTGAGATTGGAACAGGCAAACAACTCTATATTTAGGATGAAATATGTTGATTTCTACATTCCCTCTCCATCTTCTTTGCTTTTAGCATCTGAAAGTGGTTAATCAATAAAGAATAGCAGGTGGTGTGTCTTTCCAAATGGCAAAGGACAGGAGCCATGCACAATATTTGGTAACAGTCATGAAATGAAGTGTTAATGATTTTTTTCAACCAAGTGAAGTGATTCTCTGCTCTAACGCATCATTTTAAGCATTTTTGGTAAGTTCAGGATCTGATTCCTCTGTTCCCAGAAAGAGATGTGCAGCTTAGCCCATATAAATGCTAGATCATCATCCCCACCCCAAAAAACATGCAAACAAACAAAGTCCCACTTATGAAGTAAGTGATTTAATAAGTCATGCCTTGTGACAGCACCCATCTCCATGGTGCATCCCAACCCATTTTTCTCTAGGTAGAAACTAACATGCACAGAAGCTAAACTGCCAAGACATAACCAAGAATTTCTTGGGTGTTCCTGCTGTCCTGCCCTTGTTTTGTACTCTGTTCCTCATACTATCATTCTAAACCTGTACCTGTGGTTATTTCAGACCTTATTCTCCTTGGATAACCTTTCATGGAGCACAAAAGTGCCTCTTTCATGTTCTAGGAGGAGAAGGAAAAAAATCAACATGACTTTTCACATCTGATAGGATCTATTTACTTTTGAAGGAAGAAATTTTTCAAAGATCTGTTTACAGATGCCTTAATGAAGAGCCCCAGAAGTTAGACAGAAACTGAGAAGTCCTCACAGGGATGTTTGTACATCAGGCCAGGAGTTAATCTCCTGCCTAAGGTAACTAGTGGACACATTGCCAGTCATTACTTATATCCCGGCATACCTGGAATTTAAGGTACTCCTTTGCTCTCAGCTTGAAGGAGCTTCTTCTGACTTCAAAGAAGGACATAATATAAGATTGAAATTCATAGTCAAGGCAGTGAATTCAGATCCAGTTACCCATATATGAAAAGTTTAATGGTCAGGAAATTCAAAGAAAAATTCATTCATTGAAGTGAAGGTTGTTGTATATAACACATTTAGAAGAATTTAGCATAGAACTTGATATGGCAAAACAATATCAGGGGACATTTGTTGACAGGGTGAAGTGGTTTGTGAGTCTATGGGTGTCTCTGTGTCTTTGAAATACTGGGACAGGGAAACAGAGGTTGCGTTAAGGAGGAAGTAGGAGCTCTTCTTCTGAGACAGATATGGTGCTGTTGAGCATTTCATGAAATACACATCTCACTGACTTGTGAAAACCTCTCTGCGATAGAGTGCTTTCTTAAAATCTTTATTACACTGAGTTACCAGGTACAGCAACATAGAATGGGATAAATTGATCATAGCCCACAATTCCAGGTACTAGTTCCACTTTTGGGAAATCGAGGTAGGAACTCAACTAATCATATCACACCCACAGCCAAGAGCAGAGATAAGCAAATGTACCCCTGCTGCCTGTTTGCTTATGCTTATGCTCTAGCTTCTTCATAGAATACAGTACAGGTTGCAGACAATAA